TTTTTTTTTAAATTTATTCCCTATCTGTCATTTTTGCTGCTCTTGATTTCCTCTTTCATGTCAGCATACACAGGGGCTATACAGCCTACGTGGCCCCCACCTCTGGATTATGGCAATTGGGGTGTAATCTGGTAATCTACCCCTGCAGTGCAGCCACAGCAGAGTGGGAACACCCAGARTATCAGAGCTGAACAGCACTGGGGTAAACACACTGCTTAGGTGTGATATTGCGTGAATAACTCAGAAATCTCATGATTGTTCTTCATTTTTCCCTAGTGACTGGTGCATTGCATCTCCACGTTATGTTCAGAGGTGTTTATAGAGGCATTCACACTAAATTCCTGTTAAATGGGTTGAGATTTTAAAAAAAAGATTACCTAAGGAATTTTCTCTTGCATCCTGCATCCAGTAATTCATGCAGGATGAAACATGACTGACTGAACCKCTTTTTATCAAAACAGAGAAAGCTCCACTTATTTTCTGAAAAATGTGTATTCCCATTTAGTTGTGCTTTACATGCTGCTGTTTATATGTCTGTAGTGGACTTGTTTTTTATTATGGCTAAAGGCTCTTCAGAATCAGTAGCCATCCCAGCCTGGGCAATGGGGCAAATATTCAGCCTGCACATTTTTGATTGCTAAGCTGTGCTTCATTTCTAGTCCCCAGGGGCAAATATTCAGCCTGCACATTTTTGATTGCTAAGCTGTGCTTCATTTCTAGTCCCCAGGGGCAAATGTTCAGCCTGCACATTTTTGAGTGCTAAGCTGTGCTTCATTTCTAGTCCCCAGCACTCTTGCAGTGATAGGCATTGAACAAACATGAGCTAGTGCTTCCTACTGGCACTAAGTGTCACGTGTTTCAGTTGGCAGGGGAAAAGCTACGCAGCCAAAGGATAAAAACACTAACCAAAAGAGAGGCTAGATGGCTAAAAAGAGCTAACTTAGTTGCACATTCTTGTTTGCTGCTACTTTGTTTTGTGAGTTTAGACAGAGGTGTGATATCACTTACCGTGTAAGTGGTACCAAGTTACATCAGTGAGGAGCTCCTGTTAAAAAGCTGTAGCTGGTTCAAAGGCTGCTCTCAAGCCACTGGCAGAGATGTCAGGGATGCCTCAGGCTGAGCAGGGAAGAGCCACCTACTTCTTGAATAAATGTGCCAGCTACCAACAGCCCCTGCCCCTTTTTCCAGAGGGGAATCGAGCGTGTCTGCTGTGCTTT